TTGCCTGAAGTTGTTACTTTAGGCACTTAAAGCTGCATCTGACTATAATTTCCTAATTATGTAAAACCTAATGCTAACACTGATTTTGATCAGATATCTAAAATAGACCAATATTATCAGACCAATATTATCAACTCATTTTTTATATCGAACAACAAATATAAGGTAACTATTGGCATCAGAAAAATAACTCTAACCCAACACCTCTACTTTAGCTAATCTTCAAATAAGTAAAAAACAGGTCAGTAATATTGATATTGATTCTTAAATTATTATGAGAAAAGCTTGCAGCTACAAAAATATTAGTAAAGTTAATTGCAATAATTAAGAATTAATAAAACTAACCTAAATGAGCATCTCATGTTCTTTTCTTAGTGAATCTTGTAATTCTTTATAAGTACTTTCTGTCATTGTAGTTGAAAATGCAAGTTTAAGAACTTTAGCCTCAACTGCCTAAAGGATACAAAGTTGCTTAGTTTGTTTTGTTAGTGAAATCTCTTTTTTTATATGATTGGAGTTTAAGAAATGCCTAAGTATAAATGGCATCAGCATTGAGATTTTTAAAACATCAGAAAACATAAAGCTTTAACAATGCCTTATTGGATTAGGCAATCTGTTCCAACTACTAGGTTTTTTAATAGTTTTTTAATATTCTATAAAGGCTTTCTCACCACCATTATTAAGTATATTAAATGTAGCATTCAGCAAAGTCTGAGCCTTTTCACTCATAAAATGATATATGTCTTGTGAAGACTGTATGTGTTGATCCCATTTGAGGATACTAAAAGGTCTAGGAGAAGTTATTAACCCATATTTAGTAGCTAGATGTTCTTTCTCTATTTGTGTTTGTTGATATTCAATTTCTAATAATTATTTTTTAGTTTGATAGTAAGAATGGGCATTTGCTATATGATTATAGTTTAGATCTATAAGATGATCACTAGAAATATTGTATGACCTGCAACCATGAATAGCATTATGTCATTTAACACCAGCAAGATCATTGCCTTGAGGCAGATCTGCAGTAACGCACCCAAGACCACCAACAATCTATATGTTCCCATATAATGTTTGCATTGAAAATCCATTTTCTAAATGTTGAATATTCTTAAGTATTGGCTGGATAACATTATTAAGATTAGCACCAAATAGGACTAGTCTGATCAAAAAATGGTTTTTAAGTTGTTTTCTTAAAGATAAAGGCATATTCCCAAATTGTAAATATATTCCTCCTAATGAGTAATAAACGTTTCTATAAGTCCCAAAATCATCAATGTATATATCAAGAAACACCTTATATATAAACATGGGTTGTGGTAGTGTTTTAAGCATAACTGATTTACAAGGTATTCTTTATCTTGTTGAAATATTATAGTACTTTCAACGATCATCAAAATGGTATATAACTTCTTGAATATAGAAATTATAGTTATCAGGTTCTAGTAAATCCAAAAACTACACATTGACATGTTGAGAAATGTTTTTGGGATTAACAAATACAGAATCCCCTTTGACAAGCCATAATTCTTTATTATTTCTTTGGGTATGTCGGGAACTAGTATATTGGCAATTAGGAAGATTCTGGTAGTGCAACAGTCAGTCAATTTTTAATATACAAGAACTATATATTTCATTGTCTACTATACTGCGTATGCAGCCTATAAATTTAGTAGATAATTTTTTGTATAAAAAAAAATCACCGACATTATATATTTCTAATTATTACAAGTTATTTATCATTGTTTCTGAAATAGTAATATGATAATTGAATCCTATAAGTCCTCATTTTTGCTATTATCTTTACAAAAAATAATATAAAA